GGCCAGAAACTAAAACCTTATTCAGAAGAGCTTTTCTGTATTCCCTAAAAAATGCATTTTAATTTGACTGAGTTATAAGAGTTTGAGTGTTGTTTCACAAGCATGCAGTACAAGCCATATAAAACTTCAATGGTTGTACATAGGGAAGATTCAGCTAATTTGACAATTTGGTGAGAAAGTGAATCAGTGCTGTAGATTTACTCTGTATTTCATTTATGGACAGGATTTGTGAAACCTTTAAGACTTGAAGACAGCTGTGCCTGGCAGACTTCCCAGGGTGCAGAACCAAAGAGAAATTCTTGCAAGGTGTGTTACTGTGGTTTGGTGGAGGTTGATACATAACCAAATCTTTTTTTCTGGGGTGGAATTTCTCTTAATTGCAAGAAAAATCCATGTTAAGCAAAAATTCTGCAGGCAGTGAAGCACATCAGGAAACAATGATCTTCAAGAACTTTGGGGAGGGGTGAAAGAAACGACTTGGAAGAAAAAAGTTGCTGGATGTTGTAGCTATTGAGTAGGGGTCAAAAGAAATACTGGAATTTTTTCCTTTTTGCAGTTGGATCACCACAAACCCCTACCTGCTTGTACTCTGCGATCAGACCACATAATCTGGTTAAAAACAAGCAATATGCAGGCTGTGATGATTAACATGAGAACCCAATGTATTAGAAGTGTTTCAAGGCAAACACCACACCCATACAACCAAAGGGACCGAAATCAGAGTTGACAGAATCCCACACTCAGGTCAGTCTTTTTATTTGTATTCGTGCACGAGAGGCACATGAGAAATACTGAAGTGGTATCATGGACCTAGTCAGGTACCTGTAATCCTGTTCTCATTTAGCTGTATTTACACTATTTGCTCCAGTGATCTTGTCTTGTTCAGAAAAGTTTGATTTTGTTCTTCGTATGGCTCCCTGCATCAGCATATGCATTATTTTGCACATCAGAGGTACCACATCTCCTCTCGTACACCAAGAGCAATGACCTTCCGGTAAAAAGCCTGAACCGCCTGTCAGCCAGGGACCTAACGCTGCCTCCGAGACTTTCCCACATGACTGCCGGAAAGATAGACAGAGTTTGATGTTTTTTCAGAAATGTCAAGGCTGAACTCCCATAGGTGAAGTCACAGGAAACTGCAGGAACTTTGAGAGCCAAGTTCTTTGTATCTGCGTCTCACTTGTTTGATTCTAAAGGGAGTGCAGAGTAATAGGCTAAACTCATCTGGAAAGTCCCAGGATCCTGATATTTCAAAGATTTTGCAATGCCAAATTCCACTGCTCCAACAGCTATTCTTCTACACCCACAAAGCTCTCAAGTCTGTCTCTCCCTATTAAGAAAGTTTAATAACACCGAGTTTACAAGCGCTTCATTAGCATGTCCACAGCTAAATTTACTGCTACAGAGATTTATGATGGATATCATGTATTTTACGGGAAATCTTCCAAGAAAATTTGACCAAAATGCAGTTTTTCACAATTCACTAACACAATTAGCAATAAGAACCAATGTTATTGCCCATCAGTTTAAACAGCTCCAACTTTTATTAAAAGATTACATCTCTAGACACTGACTTGGTGGGCAAGCTGCTAACACTCAGAAATAAAACAGATGCTGCCAAGTTTAAATAGACAAATGTTCTGGGGAAAAGTTGATCCTCTCCAAGATTTCATCAGTTGCAGAAGGAACAAGGCTCCCAGGCGTGCATTTGTCAGCCAGCATATACACCCCTCAGGTGTGCTCAGGAGCACAGCATATCCAAATTTCCCAGCACTAGCCAAGATATTTGCATTAAATTGAAACTATTTAAATGGTATTCTTGAGAAATGAAAGTGTTAAATATTAATCAGTCTGGGAACCTACCACATCGAAATCAACCATAGGAAAGCGTGAACTATTTCCACATGAAACACACCATATGTTTCTTCTTAATACCCCAGTATAGCTGAAAGCAGCGGGAACCATCTCTGCCCTCCCTCAAATCAGCAGGCAAGGCAGCCACGCCGCTTTGATAACAACAACGTTTTCTCCCCAGCCAGCCTCCTTCACCACCGCTTGGCTTTGTACGTCCTCCGTCTGCTTCCTTGTGCATTTTATCCTCCTTCCTATCTGAGAGCAAACAACAGAAACACTAAAGAAAGACACAGGCACAACTAAACACTTTTTGCTTTCACTTCCCAAGAGGTGAAGATTGACTCAATTTAGCGCTATTCTAGCAGAGCGATGGTATCAAAGGTCTTAAAGAAATGAGATGTGCCAAGTATTCAAAGGAAAGGTAGCCTGGATGCAGAAGTAACCTGGCTGTTCAGTCTCACTCAGGAATACCCAAAAAGATAAATTTGTCTATGTCCAAGCAGCTGCAAAACTGTAGTACTGAGCATTACCCAACTTCAGTGCCCAAGCAGATGAAGTGCTATGAATGACCGCTAACATTTTTCTAACATATCTACATTTGCCCAACGTTAATTTTATACAAGCTTTAACATAATCTAAAACAACAAAAAAACCTTTTCCACCAACTTTAACCAGAAAAAGCTTACAAATGAGCACACAAAGCAAGTCTTCAGATGAATTAACCAGCCTGAATACTGGGAATACGCTGTAGGAATCAATTTTGTTTAGCTAGGCTGGGAGGGAGGAGTGGGAACCCGGGAGGAAATGCTAAAACAAAACATATGGCATGAAGACCGAAGTCTAAACACTCAATTTAGTTCTTAAGCAGTTATATTTTACAGTGTGTAACATTTTTCTTGAATGGGTTTTAAATAGGCCTACGAAACTGGCTGCAGCTAGCACATAAGACTCACAGGTAACAATAAACACCACACTTCAAAAAACAAATCTAAAAAGCTATAATTGGACAGAAGCCTCCCATTCCAGACTGGTTTTTACATCCAAAGACCTTGATCATACCTGGTGAGTACTTACAGGCTGCACTTTTTCAATGGCAGTGCCTTTTCAACACATGCGAAAACTACACAAGCACAAGATGGGTCAAGACAGACATTTTGATAAAATCTGGGAAAGCGGAAATCTTAATTCTGAGAAGTTCCTCTATACCTGCAAAACAAAATTTCTCCCACGCGTGCATACATATACTCACATTAGAGCTTGGGAAGAACATGGCTAGAAATCTAAATATTCAACGGCAAAGCCCAACTCAAAAGCTACACGAACTGCAGTCATTAAAAAACCTAATCATTCAGTAAATGGTGACTTCAATTTTCAATTTAAGCTTGATTTCTGAGGGGAGAAGAAACTCCCACCACATCTGTTCACGCAGCCTGCATTATCCTCATCGCTACGAAGGAATCTGTCAGGGGAGAAAGGGCACAGGAATAGAGCAAGGGAGCACTCCCACCACTAATTTATCTTCTGTTTCTGGCACAGACTGTTCACAGCAAAGAGGATGCTCCTAAATCAAACAGCTACAGCAAGCACAGCTCTCATCTTTCCAAAAAAGTAGCAAAATGAGAATGACCCAGTTCCAATCAACTTCACTACCGCTACCAGCATTTCCAACAGGAACTGAGAGATCCAAGGGAACCCGCATGTGCGGGTATCTGATCAGCAGAAGCAGCATGAGGTCGAATATTTTTTTTTTTTAGGCTTCAAAAAGAAGACTATCCTGATTTATATGCAATCCACGTTTGGAAGACCACCTTCACAACCACCAGCACAGACTACATTTTTCTTTTTAGATGAAAATGTAGATGTCTCCAGAGGCAGTATTCACCTGTGAGGACTATCGCTACTCTGGGTGTACATTTCACAGAAAGGCTTTATAACTTGCTTCTTCTACCCCACCCTCATTTTACCCTTTTTTGAAATGAAAGTTGGGTTCTGATCCTGAACAAGTTTCCTTGATTCAGTGGAACAGAAGTTATTTAACCTAAGGAGGCTACTCAGCACTTACTAACACTAACCAAGCATAACAGACACAGGCATTAATCCATACCTTTATAGTGGCATGAGTCATCCCCAGTGCTGAGTAATCCTTTTTTTAATATTAGCCAGAATGAGGAGGGCAGTTTTACACAAGTTTTCTTTACAGGTAGAAAACCTGCTCTTTCAACTCCTTCATCTGCACCAAATGAAAGCCATGTATGGCTATTTTCAGGAACACATTAAGGAATTGGACTACACATTGATTCCCTTTATTCTGATGTGGAAAAATAGCTGAGCTGGTAATCTACTGAATGTTGGACTGTAAATGTAAAGAGGAACGTTTTTCATCAGGAAACAAGTTAAATCCTTTAAAAGCACCGGTGCAAGGTCCATCTCTTTCCACACCAGGATGCCTCTTTGTTCCCCGCTGAAAGACTTTTACAGCTCTACAGAAGTAAAGAGAGCTAAAAAAAAAAAAAAAAACAACCCCAAACCCTTGAGGTTTACAGGAGACATGAAGCAGGAGACAAGGCAGTCCAGCTCAGTTAACACAGTGACATTTTGTCCCACAAATCATATACGTGCTAGGAAACTTGCGTCACATCTCCATCCAGGACACTGGCAGACACACCAATGTTTGAAAAGAGTAAGGGGGGGATGGGAAAGTTAAAAAGAGAAACCATATGTTTGCAATATACACATTTCAGTGTACACTCCATCTCACATCAGTAAGCAGGCAACATCCAGAGAAACTTGGTTTACAGAAGGACAGGGAAAAAGATACGGAAGAAATTAAATACTTCTTTCCTGATTTCTCCTACAAGTTCTGTCAGTTAATGTTAACGACACATCTCTGCGCTCCTCCTAATACTTTGAGGCTGTAGGATGTGCACCTCCAGCAGCAAGTTCTCCTAAGAGCAGAAGTGCATTTACATTCCCTTTTGTTCCCATCCCACTCTGCTCTGCAGCTACAAAGAGGCAGATTGTCTGTTCACTCCTATCGTTGGATACTCAAGCTCAAATCCTTGCTTTGTGCTTCCAGAGCACCCTTTTGCAGGCTCCCAGAGGAAAAAAGCATTTCCTACACACACACGGATCCAGTTCCCTTTTACCGGGAAATTGGTGGCATCTTCTTCCCTTCCTCCCTGCACCTTTACCTCCTGCTCCTTAAAGAGGCTGAACGTCATCCTCCCCAGGGCACATTTTCCAAAGGAGGTTTAAAGGGTTGATCTGCAAGATTACACCTTCTCTGTCTTTACAGGGAGTTTGTCTCCTTCCTAAAGCACCACTGCTCCCGCTGAGTGGAGGGAGAGGACAAAGCCTGATCCCACAGAGCAACAGGGATTTCCAGAAGGATTTCCCCCCCTCCACAGCTTTAGTTCCTTCCTACTTTTAAACAATGCCAAGAATTTAATCTCTTAAAACAGCATTTTCACAAACTCTCCCACCTTCCTTAACAGAAAACAAGTCTCCCCACAAGGCAGGGATGGAAGGCCCGGGCATGATAGTGCTACTTCATTTATAAACTTCAAATAAAAGCACTCCACAAAGATTACTCTAAAAATTAACCTCCTTCCTAAAAGTCTTTGGCCGGGAGCCTGTCCTGCCCTCCTGCTTTATTCCGTGCCTCCTGAGATCGAGACGGGAGGCATTGACCTTAGAGTCACCTGTGGCACCACCTCAGATGTGTCACATACTCGCCCTAGAGCAACGTATCCCTCAAACACACACCCCAACAAAATGGTTGAGACAGCCAATAAATCAGTACAGCGGGAGGCCTTTGGTAACTGTGCAGTTTAAAGTCAAAAGAGAGTGAAGGGGGAAAAAAAAAAAAATCATTTAATGGAGAGAAGGGCTGGGGCCTCGAGCTATGAGGACAATGAATGAAAATCCACAGCAGCAGCAAAAACCCAGGATAAAAGGCTCGTTCGGCAGCACTACAAAATCCTCTGTACCCCGCATGGACCAAAGCAACGTGGGGCTCCAAAACTGCTGAGAAAGGAGTCATCCCCCTAAAATGAATGGGGGTGCCCTGGAAGGTGAGAGAGCCCTCGTAAGCCGTGGAGTTCGCTCCTACACGCCCAGCGTATCCGAATTTGCACGGTGACAGGCAGACAGGAGAACCCCCACAGCGTGGACCCCATCCTGCTCTGTCCCCTCAGCCGGGCATGATGGGAGGAGGGATACAGAGGCTGGAGATGAGCCCCCCCATGACTGCCCCAAGCCTCTGCTGGGGGGTGGGGGGCGGGAAAACAGACCCACACTCCCCTCTGCGGGTCCAGCACACGCGTGAAAAGAGGGACCAGCCCCCCCATCCACCCACCCCGCGGAGAGGCTGCGAGTGGACCCGCACCCACCCAGCCCCTCCCTGAACACACACCCCCGCCACGGCGAAGGGGGTCCGCACCCACAGACACCCGCCGTGGAGTGAAGGGGGGGGGGGGGCAGC